GACAATAGCAGTACGAGATGCTCGAAAAATAATTCTCGAGCTTCCTTTCACTTTGATCATCATCAGATCTTGGTTGGTTCCTCGTTGGATTACGACTTGTACAACGCGAAGAAGTGTCATATTTCTTTATTACGTTTATTAAATATTTGACTGAGGCTGATTATGGATTTCGCTTAATTTCTAATTACAATTGTCAAGTTTAGCGATTATTATTATTATTATTATTAATGCGAATTATCCTTACCTATATTCCAATTAATGCAAAGATATTGTATATTAAAAGCACGTGCTGATTCCGATTCAGGTCGCGCGCAATAAATGCGTTTATTTGCCAAAGATTATCGCAATGAATATTTATATAATACGACGATATTTATGATATATAAACACACAGATCGCTGCATTTCCTGTTGTTTTTACTATTCCAACCGATGTTCATTTTTTTTCTCTCTCTCTTTTTATTATCTTTGGAATAACTTCCATTCGTTATTAAATTTTTTTACTATAACGAATTATTACTCGAACATCTAATTGTTTCTTACTAATGATGGAATTGAATCGAATCGAATATTCATTTATCGAATTATCGTATACAGTGTTTTTTGCCATTTCGATCAAATTAATCGTTCAATCCATAATAATTTCAAATAATAAATATATTCAAAACGAGTTTAGAAATTCATTAATTAAGATCCGTTGATCGACATTAAATTTTTAAATAAGATTCGCGTTAAATTACAACGTAATCTAATTATCTCTCTTTAACTTCGCTCGCAAAGATGTCTCGCTCGCGAAGAAGCATGCTTTACTCGAATCTGAATACGAAGAACGATCAACCTGTGATCGTCGAGAAGGATTCGTAATCAGATTAAAATCTGATGTTGAGACGCCTCGATCGTGGCCGGCGTGGAAGAGCTGTCACAGCCAAGATCCTCCCCGGCCGTAAGCTACTTATTCCGCGGCTTAAACGCGCGCGTTCACGAAATCTGAAGCGGATTTTCGATTCGAGTCGCGGATCAATCGCGCCGATAATCCGCCAGGCAAACGGCGTGGAACGACAGAGATCTTACTTCAAACTCCGAGGCGCCATCTACATCGCTCGCCCGCTACATTTTCGCCCCATTTTATTTGCTGTTCGCCCCCGATGATCGAAACGAGAAGAGGGAAGACTGGTGTCCAATTAAAATCCTCGACTTTGTTTATCGCCTGTAATTATTGCGTGACGGGGAATATTGATAATTAATGCGCTCATATTTTCGCCACCGTTTGAATATTCATTAGCTCGCAAAAGTCGATGTCGATGACTTTCGGAATCTTTATGCATATTAACCTCCATTACACTGTGTAAAATGATGAAACTTGGTAATAATAGTTGGCTCGTAAATTTTATTTTCTTTCTTTTTTTTTTTCCTTCATCCTTACTTAAGATTATTTTAATTTTCAAAAAAATGCTAATGCACCAACATTATATTTCGAACGTCATATATTGGAAAAATAGTAAAAGGAGTGAATATTATTTCGCAAGGGAAACGATTCCGACTTTTTTTTAGTGCAGATATCTCGAGGGGAATCTATTAACCGACAATTATATCGACGATATTTTCGCGATTTCTTCTTCCACGATCGCTCCAAGAAACGGTGGTTCGTTGAAAAACGCGATAACTAAATTGCGATACGCGGCATAAAATTAAAATACGGGGCTAAGAGCATTGCGAGAGCATCCTCGGTACGACGGGCGCGATGAAATTTGCATATATTTCGCGCGATTCCTCGATTCCACGGGATGAAATTACGGTGATGGCTCGACGTTCACGACGGCCGTTTCTCACGCAC